CTCTTCTCATTCCAACCTGTTTCCTCCAAGTACAAGTTACATGCTTCCTCCTCCCCTCTGCCTGAGCACTGCAACTCAAGGATGGAGAAAGACAGACGCACCAATTCTTTAAAATGAAGGTCACTAGAAATATGAAATAACAAAACAAGACATTTTTCCCCCTATTCAGACTCCTGCAAGCAGCTGAAATACTTTTTTTCTGAAAGGTTTCAAGGAGTCGGCTTGTGATGAATACAGTGATGAAAAACTTCAGTAATATTTCAAATAGGCCCAGAACCAGATCTTCCCTCAGGCTTCTTTATTTCAGAAGCGTTTCCTTCTCCAAAACATCATCAGGAAATGACATTTCGCCAGCACGTGTACAGCACTGCAATAAAACATCAGCACACCCAGGAACTGTTTTCAAATTCACATCAAGGTGAACAGAACAAGATCAAGATATTAAAACCAAAGACAAAAGCTTGGCTGAGGAGACAGTCAGCTTTCTCTTTTGCTACCTGCTTTGCTGATTCCCAGAGAGCCCGGCGTGGCTTTAAAAACCTTGTGCAGCCTCCTGGAGCCATCCCAGCTGCATCCAGCCAAGGAAATGTGCTTGGGCAAAGAAAAAATTCATTGTTTCTTCCTGGCTGCTCCTGACGTAAGTGAGATTGCTCCCTGTCAGTTAAAAGAAACTGTCCCCTCAACTGCTATAACCTTACCATTGAGAAGTTTACCTGTGCTCCCAAAGCTGGAGTTGTCAGCTTTACCATATTGTTCAGTGCCGTGAGGCACCCTCAACCCTCTATGATAATAAAGGTTTCCATGTTTTCTGGGCAAGATAAAATTTTAGGCAAGTTAAAAGAAAAAAAAATACACCACGCTTTTGACTACAGCATGAATAATATTGGGGCTGAGTTTAATTTCTTTGCCTAACTCCCTGTATATATAGCTTCACTGTCAAGAGAATTTATGTTATACTGTGGGTGATTCAGTGCCCAAAGAACTTTCATTAGGACCTTCTGTGGTAAAATGATTTGTAATGCAGACAGTGAAAAATGCGCTATGCTGGGGGGAGCTTCACTTCTGTCCAGGAAGAGGATTAATTATTGCGAGAATTAACTTGTTTCTCGCCCCGCTGTGGTACACTGGTGTCCCACACCCCATATAACCTCCCTTCCCGTTTTGCTCTGAGATTGAGCTTGTCCATAGATGGAGCCCATCTGTCACTCACAGTGCATGTCCTGAACCACCCAACCTCCTTAATCCTCCACCTTCCAGCAGAAGACGTCGCTCAGATCAGGCCCCAGATGCGGGTTCATCTGGTGCTCACCATCTGCAACAACAGACCTCCCCATAGCATGACCTTTTCTACCTGTTCTGGTCACTCCACAAAATATCTGACGAAGATGCTCACAGACAGACCAACTGCAAGGCAAAGGCATTAGATGTCTGCATCAAAACTCATAGAATCATAGAATAATAGAATGGTTACGATTGGAAGGGACCTTAAAGCTCATCCAGTTCCAACCCCCCTGCCAGCAGCAGGGACACCTTCCACTAGACCAGGTTGCTCAAAGCCTCATCCAGCCTGGCCTTCAACACTTCCAGGGAGGGGGCATCTACAGCTTCCTTGGGCAACCTGTTCCAGTGACTGACCACCCTCACAGTGAAGAACTTCTTCCTAATATCTCATCTAAACCTCCCCTCTTTCAGCTTAAAGCCATTTCCCCTTGTTTTGTCATTAACTGCCCTTATGAAAAGTCCCTCCCCAGCTTTCTTGTAGCCCCTTCAGGTACTGGGAGGCCGCTATAAGTTCTCCCTGGAGCCTTCTCTTTTCCAGATTGAACAGCCCCAACTCTCTCAGCCTGTCCTCACAGCAGAGCTGCTCCAGCCCTCGGATCATCCTGGTGGCCTCCTCTGGACTTGTTCTAACTGGTCCCTGTCTTTCTTATGTTGGGGGCTCCAGAACTGGACGCAGTATTCCAGGTGGGGTCTTGACTTTCACCTTCATGACTAAGTCAGTACCAAGGCAATGTCAGACTTTGAACCTTTCTGCACAGGGGTATCAGAACCAACGTAACTTATAAACACATGAAGTGTCTGAAATGTGTGGTTTTAACCTTCTGCTTGTCAGCGACAATAAGAAGATGGAGGATGGGCGACTTGTGATGCTCAAACATCACGATATGAGAATTAATGTGCTGAAAGGAACCCCTGTATAATAAATGTGACATTAAGGTCCTCCATCAATCAAATTAAGGATTTTCTATCTCATCTTACGCAATTATCAGATGCCAGAAAATAACTTTTCCTACTACCTAAAAAGGCTTTTTGCCTACTGACCACTGAGCTAAAGCATTCATCTTTGAATAAATAATCACAGAGCTTTTAGTCTGATAAAGATATGGATACAAAATGTTAGCACTTGCAAATCTCAAGCAAAAGGTAACCTTTCAACCTTAAATATCAGCCTGACTCAAAGAAAGTTTCAACAGCTAAGGTCATATGTTTTGAACCGTTACTGCTTTCAACACTTAAAATAATTGAATTCATTGTTGCAGCAAATAGGAGCCTAATAAAATACTTGTGTTAGTATTTATTTTTTTTCATAATTACTGATGTTCTATGCAGGTGGGAGAGCTTGGTTGCATGCCTGTAGGACACTAATGGGAAATATTTTTTTTCCAAGCATCACATCTATCAGTGCACTAGAAGAAAATAAGCCTGTATTAGGAAGTTTCACGCTGGCTCTCATTATGCCATCTCATAAGCTTGTCCTTTGATTTATTATAAAAATTAAATATATTTTCTCAGTGAGAACAGAAGTATTAGACAAGAGATCATGGAAATGCTGGCAGAAAAATGCTAGTTTTCTGCTGCAAAATCTTTTGTATTACAGGTTCTAGGTGCAACTAATGCTGCTGAATTGCCTGGGAAGTCTGGTAGGATCCTGGTGGATTCCCATTCTCCAGGGTCAGGGATGATGGAAATTATGGGGTCCCCAGCTCTGCTACAGTCTAGAAGTAAATCTCTCCCAGTGCTTCCTGCAGGGTGCTCAACAAATTTGACATCTTTGTCAATTTTGCTGCAGTTAGTAGTAGGGGAGCAGGCAGGAATACCAATTTTGCAGAGCAGCTGCAGGATACTTTTAGCTCACTAGAAATGAAATTTTTTCATAAAAAAAAAGAAAGGTTTTGGATTCAACAGAGATCAAGCTCAGTACTGCAATCAACAAACATTCCTGCAACCTGGAGACCCAGCTTTTAAATTAGTTTTTCAGACTCTGAAGTCCATCTTACTAGGGGAGGCGATCTGCTGGCACACCTGTTAAAGCTTCCTTCTCCTCTGAGAAAAGGAAACACATGGTTTTACTCTGATTTTAATCCCTGTGTACTTTCCAAATATTTTGATAAATGAAGCAAATCAACATAACACTTCTTGGAATGCCCAGAGCAGACTATGCAGGCATATTCCAGCCAGCTTCAAACTAATCAGTTTAACCACAGCAGTATACAGCTCAGCCTCAGCTCCCAAAGCTGGATAAACCATACAAATAAATACTAGGTAGGCTTCTGCAACCCATGGTACATCCTGAACTGCTGTGGTTATCCTCCTAGTTGTAACCAACTAACCCAGCATGCTGGAAATAGCATCAAAGTAGTTGTCACCACAGCATCCACGTATACCTAAGAGCTATTATATGGTTTTCATGGAAATCCTGCTACACTGCACTAGAGTTATGATGGATACAGAACATGAAAGACAAGCCTTTTGTTTTGCAGAAACTTGTCATTTTTGGTGACAATAGCTTCTCAGCTGTCAAGTCAAAAATATACAACTGTCACTCAGAATAATACAGCCATCTATTCCAGTTCATTAGTTTTCACCTGATGAATCAGAGAGCAGCCTAAAGAGCACACAGTAAAGAGCACCTTCAGGTATGAACCCTGAAAACTCCTATTCTGCATTTAACCTCATGCAAGAATTTACACTTAGCTAAAGGTAACTTCTCGTAAAATTATGGGCCATTTTCAGAAGTACAGGCTCTGGGGTGCCAGAAGGTACAGTCAAGTCCTGCCTGAAAGCTTCCACTGTGCAATAAACAGGTCAGAGAGAAACTGGGCGGTAGCTCAAGTCTCTTCTGGCACTTAAAGAAGCAAGATCCTCACTGCTTCCTTCCTAGTTCTAGTGAGAACAATAAGAAATCAGAAGAAAATTCATATTTTCTCACAGACAATCCAGGCTCAAGACTTGCAAAACCACGTGTATTAATTATCAGTCATCATGGAAGAAGAAAGAAAAGAAACCTTCTAAATAGATCACAAAGGTTGAGAACAAACATGCCAGGTACAAATACCAACCACATGTATCAATGCCTGGATCTGGAATTCTTGCTCAGACCAAAAATTTACAATATAAACCCACATTTTTGCAGTTTTCCATACTTATTTTTAACTAAAAAGAGTCTTAAACCAGGAGTGTTAGAAAGAGAGGGCAGAAGGATGGGTACAGCAGGAAGAGAGATTGTTTTTCTCAGAAAACAAGTGACATTTTTCCTGCTCAATGGAACAAATAATTTACAGTTATGCATGTTACTCAAGGTCATCTCCTTCATCATGTATTTTTCTCACTCCTCTATCAGAACTTACAGGACTTTGAACGTGGCTAAATCCTCCACTAGTGTTGTCTTTTCATACTGTCATTTCCTTTATCTGTGATCTGCTAAATCAATGGAACGAGATTTCTTCTGGGTTCCCCTCTAGCTCTGGTAGCAGAACCTGAATATACCGCTTTGGCGAGCTGCTGCTTTAACTCTAGTGCACCCAATGTGTTTGTTTTGGGGTTTTTTTTAAACCAAAAATTGGTAACAAAGTTAAAGGTTTCTCAGAATCTAAGAAATCCCTCCAAGCCAAGCTTCAACAACCTTAAAAACATGTGTAAAGTGGGGCTGCATCACAAATTTTCAGTCTGGTTGAGCAAACAGTTCCAGATTAACAACCCAACCCGACCGCAACTATTACCTGCTGAAGTGTGCTTAAATTTTTCACTCTTCTTCTTCCTCCATTTCCATGGCTTAAAAAGCCTTCCAAGAGTGGCAAATTTGCTTCTTCTTCTGATTGGAGGTGTGTGAGTCCCAGGTACTAGAGAATCTGAACGCATTGCAGCCAGTCTTTCCACTTCCTCAGCTGTAGTTTCAGCAAGAAAAGGAGGAAAAAAAAAAAAAGGGGAGAGAAGTGAAAAAAAACCTTTCAGAAATTATCAGAGAACCACACAGATGGTCAAAATTTTCCATGGTTACAGAGGAAAAAAAGGAAAAAATTGTAGTCTTTATTATTTTATCATTCTTTTCAGTGGAATACATAATCTACTGTAAAGATCGGTATTAACAATCAGAATTAACAGGAATATGGATTATTACAATAGCAAAGTTATAATCTTGAACAAATTGTTCTGTATCACTCCAGCCAGCTGGCAGTCCATCCACCAGCCATTCCTGGGGAAGTGTGACAGAGATTGGGGAACAGAAAGCTCAAATAAAGGACGCAATAGTGTTTAAAAGAAATACTGCAAGTCTTTTTTTGCAACAGAAAGTGACATTTCCATTAATTAAGATTTATAAGGAGCAAGGACCCTGATAAATAATGACCCTCTGGTATCATTACCATGTCCATTAAAATCACCTGGGTTACAAAAGTGTGTGCATTACGAATTTCCTAGGGACAGAAAGAGTGCTAAAAATTCAGAAGGTTCCTTCCAGTCCCACTTTTCTGCTCACTCATTCCCCTCCAATTCTTATCTTTTCACACAGGGACTTGGAGGATTTTAATAGAGTCCACACTTAGAGCTGAATTCCCTAGGAGGGGTTACAGGTTTTCACTGAGCTTCTGGTGTTAAAAAATTCAGTTTTTTGCAACCTTTACACTGTTAGTACATCATGGTAGTCTCAATACTTCTTTTAAAAAAATAAAAAAAAAGTCTGAAGAATTTAAATTCCCCTTCCTCCCCAGTGGGAGCAAGAGAATTCTGGGGTGGTCACTTGGCACATTCACATTACATGGGTCCCCCCAATTATATTTACAGGGAAAATATGCTGATAGTTTTGAGAAATAAGATCCCTGTGATCAGAGGTAGAGAGAGGGGTAAGCCAGGAGCAAAGGAAAACACCGACATGGGGAAGGTACTAGGAGCCCAGGGGCAGGGGTCTCTCCATGCCACAGCTGCAATACTGCAAAATTCAGTGAGCAGGAAGGGGGTTTTGTGTCTTTTTAAAAAAGTTTTTGTTTGTTTGTTTGGTGTGTTTTTTTGTTGGGTTTTTTTAAAGGGATATCACTTTCCAGGCTTGTCTGGTATTTGTGACACTGCCAATAAAACTGATTTGAGTGGTTTGCACAAACACAGTCTGGATTCATAAAGACAGGACACAGATTGTCACCCCTCCCGCTCTGAAGACAGCAGCCCAGTGTTTCTATTTCACCTCTAGTATATTAAATATTAACCTCAGCCATGAGTACAGGCTCAGGAACCTCAGCAAGAACATAGCTCTGAAGGGATGAGCACACCTACTCCACACTGATAAAACCACCAGAGATTTTGGCTGGCAAATTCTTATGTATCTTGAAATTTTTCCAAGGTTTTCAGTATGCCAAATTTAGGTGGGCTTTCATGGGAACAGCTGGAGATGCATCTCTAACACAAAGGAAGCTTCATTATCAGAACTCTAACCTGAAATACTAGTGAACCCCTCAGGTTCTTGCAATAAGGTTGGTTATTTTGTTATTGTTCTTTTGTTTGTTTTTAACATTGGCAACACAATCCTTTTCCCTGTAAAATATCACTGCCAGATAGAGCTGCCTGTAACTTCCTGGAAGAAAAAAAAGCAAGCCCGGGAGATACAGAGAGCCCAACTGCTTCAGTGGAAATAGTTAAAAATAATTGTTCTTTGGGGTAAAGGAGAGAGAGACAGACATTTCTGAGAATATCTGCTTTCCATTTACAGCAGAGGAAAAAAAGGTAGTCCTGTCAAAGCACTTAATTCTGTTCCAGCTCTTTGTGCCCAACTGCCTAGAGAAATATCTTCTAATAGAGAGAACCCATTACGAGGCTCTGTCCTGCGCAGGGGCTGGGACATGCTGCATCAAAGCTGGAAATTGCCTGGTTTATGCTGAACAAACTGTGAGTGTAAAAAGAAGAGGAAATCAGGAATTTCCTTACACTTTCTGATTTCACCAGAACCTGCTGGGCTTTGAAGACCAGCACGGGGTACAGACCACCTCACTCTATATGCAGATCCAAAGGGACTATGCCTTTTCCTCCTCCTCCTCCATTTTTAAGATGTTTCTAAGTTAAAGCAAATAAGATGACACTGTGTTCCACTGCTGTGATTTTTTTTAGAGATTCTGCTAAAAAGTAATGGGCTGGTATTGTCTTTGCTGCCTTACCTGAGGGATACAGGGTGTAGAAGCGGTCCATTGAGCAAACTAGGAATGACACACTACTGCTGCTGAATTAGGCTTCCTGCTGCATAAACCCAGATGAAACATAATGAAGCTCCTCTTCCTACTCACTTTCTCCCTTTTTCCCCATCACTGAGCCACCATTTCTGCCGCCTGAGTTACTAAAACTCAGAGTTGCAACAACTCCTCTCAGACCTGGTCCTGACTGGTACCCTGGAGAATTGACAACCCTTAAAAACCCTCTCCTTTCATAAAGCACAACCCCTCTGTCCCACAGCAGCTGCACTCTCACTGCCCCCGGGGAAGCTTTTCCCATTCAGTATAAATGAGTATGGATCGGATTCACAGTCAGGCAAAACTAACACTGGAATCAAAAGGAATTTACCCAAAGGGGGGGTTCATTAAAAGCCAACACAATTTCCATATTTTGACTGCTCTTCCCTGAATTTCAGCATCATCTCTCACATGGATCTGTGTTCTGGGAGTCCTGCTGTGCTTTCCATCAGCCATGAACGTGGCCCTTCTCCTTCATCCTCTCCAAACACACACAGCTCGGAGCTAATGCAAGTAACAGCTCTTTTTCCCCTCTTGCTCCTATTTCTCACAAGGACTATCTCATTTTTTTTCATTAAAATACTCTCAAGAGCACTGCTAATTCAAAGCATAATAATCACTGGCTACGAATGAACCTCATTAGCATAAAGCTATGACAGTTTTAATCCAGCAAGAATAAAAGCAGACCAGGATGTGAGAAGTAACTGCCAGATTTCTATGCTCTCCTTTGCTGCCGCATCTTTCCCTGGAGTTGGCCGGGTTTCCTGCCTTTTTGGCTCCTAATGACTATTGACTGGCCGTGGGCTGTGACACCCACTGCTGACAGCAGGCTCCGTAGGCTGGATTCACACCCTTGCTGTTTCCAAAAAAGGTGGTACTTGTGCAGAAATGGAAACCAACTCAGGTCTTGCACAGTTGGGTTGGGGTTTTTTTTTTTCCTTTCCAAGAGGAAAACAATCCTAGCAGTCCCAGCTTTATCAGTCTGCTGAACGGGGAGGATGAACTGCCATGTACATCAATGCCCATAGTCACAGTGCAGAACTCTCACCTTGAGACCGGTGCCACAAATGTGATGTTTATGGCTCATGGTTGCTGCTGATACTCAGTGCTTTTGGGAACTTGATCTGATTTTTTTCCAGGATCTGAGTGATCTTGCCGAGACACACAGAGACGCTGGGATCTGCACTTACGCCACGAGGGCAATGCATTCCCCTCCCACTTTCTTCTGTCCGAGCTGTCACCCCAGAATAGCAACGAGGAAACTAAACCTGAAAGCTTTGCACAGGCTGTGTGGCTGCGAGACAGCTCTCGAGGTTTTACTGTAGTCCTTAAGACATTTGAAGTTCCTAGAGACTGAAGTTCATATAGGGCTTAAGCAAAACTTGTGGTTTCAATGAGAAAAAGCACCACAAATCAAAATATTTTGCATCCAAGTGATGTGAAAGAAATTTTACAAAGATGAGTTAAATATACTACAAAGGCTGAAAACACTAGAAGGTCTGAAAGCTAATTTCTTCTCTTACTGCCCTCCCCCTCCCCTTTTTTTTTTTCATTTTGAAGCTAACACTGGGTTTGAGGGGTTTTTTGGGTAAAACCACTTGGAGGTTTATGGGCTGTAATTTACTGCACGGACACCAGACATGGACAAAATCACTAAGCTGATAAAGAGCAGTTCAAAAAGCAATTTTTTAAAACAGTCAATTTATCAGTCCAAGAAAAAAAGAGGCCGAAACATCTCAGACCCGTTCTATACGTTATGAGTTTCCCACATCCTTCAGTAGGGTGCTGGTTTCCCGAAGGTCCAGTACAAGACAACACAGGGGTCACCTACTTTTTGGATTTGAGACTTGTAGAGTCTCAAATCTTTGAGACTTTGATCAAAGGCCCTCCCAAAGACAATATAACTTCTGAAGTTTTCCTGGAGAACGACAACCAGTTTTGTCATTCCCACGTTTGCCTGGGAATCATGTCATCTAGTCATGCTGCTGATATACCATATACCTCAGCTTCCATTTTAGAAAGAAAACCAAAACAAAACCCCATTGTTACTGCATTTGGGTGCACAGAGCAATTTCATAGTTGAAGCCCACCCAACCCATCTCCAATGTTTAGTATCACCTTCCTCACCAGTAACCACGCTAGCTTTTCTCTCAGACCATTTCTGAACATCTGTTGTTCATCCTCAGACACAGGATTATCTTAACAGGCAGTTTATAGAATCATAGAACCCCAGACTGGTTTGGGTTGGAAGGGACCCTAAAGATCATCCAGTTCCAACCCCCCTGCCATCAGCAGGGACACCTTCCACTAGACCAGGTTGCTCAAAGCCTCATCCAACCTGGCCTTCAACACTTCCAGGGAGGAGCAGCCACAGCTTCACTGGGCAACCTGTTCCAGTGTCTGACCACCCTCACAGTGAAGAACTTCTTCCTAATATCTCATCTAAACCTCCCCTCTTTCAGCTTAAACCCATTTCCCCTTGTTTTGTCACTAACTGCCCTTATGAAAAGTCCTTCCCCAGCTTTCTTGTAGCCCCTTCAGGTACTGGAAGGCCACTATAAGATCTCCCCGGAGCCTTCTCTTCTCCAGGCTGAACAGCCCCAACTCTTTCAGCCTGTCCTCATAGGAGAGGTGCTCCAGCCCTCGCATCATCCTGTTTACCTCACAAAGTTAGATTT